CTGGGTAAACGTTTACACCCGGCGCGCCGGCCGAACATTGGGCCGGTCGCGCACGGGACGTTTGGTCGGGAGGCATCACGTGGCCAGAACAAGACCACGACCCCACCTTATCCCTTCGCTATGCGTTGCCTTCCTCTTCCTCTCTCTCGCTCCCCAGCTGCTCCCCCGTCGTCTGAGTGCGCCCCGCGGCCCCATCGACTGTGCGCCGGTGAGCTGCTACCAGAGGTGGCCGGAGATATGAGGCAGAGTGCGCGCCGGTGAGATCCTCCCCCTCCCCCTCCACGCGGCATACAAACCACAGCCTGAGAGCTTCGTAAGGGGCGGGGTAGAGCTGCAACGGCACACGGCCATGGCGCGACGAGCGGCGCGTCAGTGGAGCTGAACGACGGACGACGAGCCGATTAATGTTGCAACCGCTCGCACGAATTGCTGGAACCAACATTCCGGAGAGCTACAACGAGTAGCGATGGTACGGCTGCGGAGCGCGGTGGGGACGCCACGACAATGTTGCAACCGACGTCTTTTTTTGCTGGAATCGGCGTCGCGTTTTGCTGGAATCGGAGACCGTGTTTGCTGGAAGCCCATCGCAAGATTGATGAAAATGCTACAACCAGCGTGGTAATTTGCTGGAACCATTGTCATGGTTTGCTGGAACTGGCTTTTTCCTCACTCATGGTGACCATGGTGACCACGGCGCATGTAGTGCGTTTTTTCTTCTCTCTTTTTTGCTGGAACCAATGTCTCTATTTGCTGGAACCATACACATTTTTTGCTACCATCCTTTTTCGATTTGCTGGACCAGACCAATTTTTTGCTACCACCGTATTTTAGTTTTGCTGGAAGCAGCCATTTTTTTGCTACAACCCGTCTTCTGGTTTTGCAACAGCGGCCCACGCCGGAAACCATTGGCGACAGGACGTGGGGGTGGGAGGGGGGAGCTGCCACTGTTGATGACCGGAATTGCAAGGCGGGGGCTCTAAATCATCAGCGGGCTTTTTGCTGCAACGCCGGCAGCCGCATGGCGCGGCAAGGTTGGTGGCGCTGCACCAGGTCGCGACGGGATAGGCAGAGGAAAGGTGGGACAGCCGCGAGGTGAGAGGCGGGAAGCAGGCAGCACGGCGGCGCTCGTGACGGTGCTGCAAGCAGGAGGGCGGGGGAGAGGAGGAGGCGGAGATTGAAGACGAAGGGGAAGGAAGAAGATGACGCTGGAGATCCAATCGGACGGCTATACGCGCCTGTATCGGGCGGCTGGGGGCCGACCGGCCGAAACTTTCGGCCGGCGCACCGGCGCCCAGTACTGCCCTTCAGCCTGTCGTTCCAAACTATACAATATACTTATATTCCTCTTTCCTCATAAATCCACATTTCTGATTGTATAAGCTTTCCTTTTCTGCTATCAACATCAAACCATGATGAGAATACTGAGTTTTTGCCCAAAAGTAAGAAATCACACCAAATACGGAAAGCAACAAAGCCTGCAGTCCAACTCCCAAGCCCAACGGCCCACGATTCATTTGCCAATGTGGACGTGCAGATATCATTGTCCCTGTCACAGAAAGCAAAGCAGTGGGCATCGTTGATGTAGAAATTAAGATGACACAAATATATAAAAAATAGCATCAGTGACTAACGAAAATTGAGACTTAACAATTACATATTTGTTTCTCTCGGCCCATAAGGTCCAAGGACCTTGAAATACCCACCCTAGATAATATAAACATTTCGGGTACTAATAATGCCTTGGCAAAGAAGCCTTACATAAAGTGCATGGTTTAGTGGCCGGGAGATTGGGAGCAACTAATAATCAAGGCGTGTCCCTTGGTGTGCTTTCACGGCGGTCACTTTCTTAGGCCGTGAGCGTGCCAAGTGGTGCGGCTAGCCAAGGCCACGTGTCACACAATGGCGCACCCAGCCAAGGCCATGTGTCACATAGTGGCGCACCCTTAGGATTTCTGTTCTTTTTTGTGCAGTCTGTTTTTCAGGTTTATTTATTTTTTATTATTATTTCGGTTTTTCGGCTTTTGCTTAGGTTTCCCTAGGTTTTGGTGGAATTTTCTGTTTTTCTAGTTTTCAGGGAAAGTTGTTCTGTCCTGCAAGAAACACAACATGTGTTTGTGCAACAAGCACAAATGTGCTTCTCGAAAAGAAAAAAAGTATAGTTGTGCTTCCGCAAGAAGCCCAATATGTGGTTCAAAAAAAATGCATAATTGTGCTTCCCGTAAAAGGAGAAATCTGATTATTATTTTTCTATTTGCAACAAAAATTGAAATTTCCTATCATTTTGTAAAAAGGAAACATTTAAAAAAAAGAGAAAAACATAAAAATATTCCCAAAGAAAACCATAAAAAGAAGCAACAGAAAACAGTTCCTTCAAAACCAAAACCTTGTAGAAAGTTTCTAAAACCAGAAAAAGTAGGAAAACACAAACCTGACAAAATGGGCCGGCCCAAATGACCGCTCGGTTGTTTGTAGGGATATATATGCATATCTCTTAGGAAATCCTACACCTACGTACCCTTATGAATGTTTACGTAACCTTCCAACTAATCTAAACACACACCCTGAATTTCACCGGAGTGTTCCCTGCAAGTCCAATCCTGACACCCACGTACCTTAGTACGTAAGTTTACCTCAACAAATTACGTAGATGTAGCAAAGCCCCTCTCTTAGCGAACGGGTACTAGCACTCGCCACACATTGTTTTTCCTGGTATAACACGCTATAGTTGTTGTTCTTAGAAAAATCACACCTCACGTACATGTGCACATCAGTAAAACTTATCTTATATTCTAAATGTTTATGCAGTGTTTTAAAAATATTTATATAGTGCTCAACAAAACGTTCTCACAACTTTTAAAAAAATTAATCGCTTCCAGAAAAATGTACATTAGGAAATATTCGTGATTTTTGGAAAACATATTTGTGATATTTCCAAAAAAATGTTTATGCAGTGTTAAAGAAAATGTTCATGCAACTTTAACATAATGTTAATGGCACTAAAAATGTAAAAAAATCATGTGTTTTTGATAAAATCTTCGTGAAATTATTTTCATAAACAAAATACAATGTACTTCAAAAGATATGTTCATGTTATTAAAAAAATTCAATGTACAAAAATGTCCAATTAGTTTAACACAATGTTTTGTATCATTCAAAGATATGTTTCAAACATGTATTTGAAATTTGTTTGACATTTATTCAAAAAAATGTTCAAACACATGATTTTGAAACATATGTACATAACATATTTGAAAAATGCTCAACACGCATAAAAAATATACAATCTGAAAAGGTAGACATGTGTTGAAAAAACAAAAAGATGAAAAAATGTAGGAAACCGATGAAAAAACCCACAGAAAACCAAAGAATAACTCGTGAAAGAAACACATAAACCACCTCAAAACAAAACGAAACAAACAAACATGCAAAAAAACTTGTAAAAAACACCAAAGAATAATTGGTGAAAGAAACACATAGACCACCTCAAAAAAAAAACAAAGAATAACATATGAGAGAGACGTGGGGGGACTAATAGATCATGTGATATATATAGGTAGGTTAGCAGGGAATTTCTCTCTTTGTTTTTACGGGTGAGGTGAGTGGTGAGATTTCTCTATGATACCCTCCCTCGAACTAGCAGATTTTGAGATGTGCATGTCATTTTCTACTACAAAAATGCTAGACACACGGATTGACCACTAACAAATTTT